CTTCAGCTTACTCCATAGGTTCGAATTCCACCGAGTCGCCGAGATTTTTACTTTTGGGTTAATACGAATACTAACCTTATTTGGCTGTTTTTCTTAAACTTGATTTCGTGAACTTCCTGACTCCTAGCATGATTTTCAGTCGAGTGATTTGAGCGAACCCGGATGATATCCCTGCAGGGCAGTGGTATATCACCCAGTAAGTTATCAATGGATGTGTGAGCCAAACATTCACCTGTCTCTAAGCTTTCGTTATAAATTGACTTTGAAGAATCGATGGGATCCGTAATTACAGCACATATGAACATATAATAAGAATCATAGTTGTGTAGTCATGCGTTATGCTGGCGCTCCAGTTTCCACGTTTGTGACTTTCAAGATATCACACTAAAGGCATCCTCGAGTATCCTCTAGACTATTCTAACAAAGACAACAGAGGAAAGGACAGAACTTTACTTATCTGGAGGCTGTTGTATTTCTGCTGCATTTTGGTCAATTTATAAATAGTAGATGTCCCCTAAGTTGTCAAATAGGTGCCTGCATCTATCAATTTCTAAATATTTCAGAACATGCCAACTGCCCCCTATAATGACCCGAACATAATTTCCTTTACATTCAATTTTTTTAAATCTCATTTGGGGTTCATCGTTCAGAAAACGTTTTACAAAACAAGCCGCTGACCCTAGAAACTTATCCGGCATTGCGTCTGTTTAAAATGAGTCACGGATTTCATGCGAACTCTACAATGTAATTGCCAGTCTTCTACCTGTTCTACAGTCAGCGAGTTTGTCACCATTCCGAGGGACAACTTTTACTAACCATCTAAAGACCGAACAAAGTATTTTGTAATTTTCCCATCTTCTCCAGATCACTTTTACGAACTAGACGTCTAAACACCTGAAATAACATCTAAAATACTTCTCTGCATAAGAAAGTAGGGACGCTTTCTTCGGCAATGACAGGCGGACGCCGGTCAATTGATACAACCATAAACGACCGCGTACGCTTTACCATGCTGACTTTCCTCCGCCAATAACTGCAGTAGTCTGTTTCCATTATGGAAGGAATAAGCTTAGGCTAGAGTGATGTGTACTTATACCTTCTGCCCAATATTTGCACGAGCTCGTTCCTTTTGGCAGCAAAGATGCCTGCATAACGCAGCTTTTATTGCAACATATCAGAAAAGCTGATCTAAGAATGCTTTAGCTTGCAGGCCCCCAATGAGAAATTTGCTTATGCTTTAAGTGCTTTTTCATAATAAGTATTGCTTGGGTTGTTAAAAGTACGTGCAGTATGCTTATTTACTTCGACCGTTCGAATTCATTACATGCGTCGGTAAACTGAATGCGTGTTATGCGAAGAATTTTGCATTTAAAGATAGCAGACTTACATATATTTGCCCAGGACTCCCGGGTTCCTTAAAAAGTCACCAAAAATTATCCTTTTACGAAAACCTATTAAATTTAAGCTATTTCATTTTTTAAGCATTTTCAGTGTTAACAACATATCGTACATATAGGAAGTAATAAGGTTAATAAGACTACAGTTTTTACTTGGCAAATATGGCCAAATATTTGTAACCTTATTGAAACCACTTTTAAAACTACTTGATAATTACTGGCGATTTTTCTTAAAATGATTTTTACAAGCCATGGAAAAGACAAAACAGCGATAATTAATTCACTGTACATAAAACGGTACGAATTATATCCGAACAAATGGTAATTATTAGATTGAAACGGTCATATTTTGCAGCCAAATGCATGGCTATCATTTTCATCTGCCTAGAGTGAAGAAATAAACAACAAGCCGGAAAATAGTATTCATGGATTGTCTGAGATGCGCTGTTAGCTTGACTCTTTTATTTTGCGTTGACCGACCACAGCATTTCTGGTGTAGCCTCACTACCCAACTTTCAGGGCACCAATTTTCCGCATGATTGCCTTAGCTAGTTGGGTAAGACTATTGGCCAATTAAATGAAAATTGACTTTTTGGTTTCTTTTGTCGCGTGGATTAACCAACCCTCCATGGCGCCCTGAAAGTGAGTTAACCCACTCGCAGCCGAACGTTCGATAAACGTACAAGGTAATTAAAAAAAACTGTTTCTCACACAGGCACACAAGCACACCGTCTCTTCGTGTTGCTCTGAAAGTCGAAGCCGTAGCGGGGAAGGTGACCACTAGGGAGATATTACAGAAGATCTCTAAAATGTCTTCAGACAGATTTAAGGTAATGATTGCAACAACACTCCAGACCTTGAAACGGTCAAGGGGCGATGACACACCTTCCTGCACCGACTTCTCGCGCCAGGAACGGTTTTCTAGCGAGAATAGAAAGGTCTTACTAGTTAGCGGCCACAGATTCCTTGTTGGAAACAAAAACAGTCACGCCAGGTTTGTCGTAATAAAATTAACTTCAGGAAAACTGTTGATAAAGATGTTATTAGGGTTTATTATTCAAACTTTAGTGCATAAATCAAAAGACTTCCCACAGACGGGTTCTGCGGCATTCAGTGAACAGGTCTCCCGCCCAAAATGCAAACACTTTCTACTGACGACCAAAGTGATCAAGTATGCTGATCAAAATCGCAGTAGTCTGGTAGGGTGATATTTCACGTTTGTACGATTTAATGGGCATTAGCATGCTGCAATAGGTGGTAGCATTTATGCCCAACCATATGTCTGGCTGTTATTTATTTTACGAGGCAGGTTGCATTTTTGTTCCGATAAAATCACGTTTTCTTCATCTCCTAACATTAATGGCTTTTAAATGTCACGATTAATTCGTATATGTCGACCCTTGTTACTCTAACTGTGCACCATATGTGTTCTTATCTCTGATGCCTAGATTGTCTCAATAAAGCAACCGAGGCCTCTGAAATGTTTGCAAAATATATAAATAAACCCGTGGTAGCTTATGCCCTTAAAACCGTGATAATCATTATAGGTGGCCCTTTGATTTACAAAATTGGTAAGGTCTAAGTACATGAAAATAGGGCAGAAGAAACTGTAAAAAGATCTATCCAAATGTAGCCCTTGATGGGCCTGATGACATACATTTTTTCATCATTTTCTATTCCGTTTCATTCAGTGCATAGTGCAGAAACGGATAGAAAATGCACTAATCGCTTGATAAGTATCATGCTGTTTGCATGACCAGTAGGTATTGTATTTGTAATCGTAGAATCAAACCCAGCATAAGCAAGCGTGCAAAAAGGTCTGCCTAGACAAAAGGAGGTTTCTCCGAAAAATTCGCTACGCCTTTCGGGCATATGCCTTTACTTGCAGGACCTTCTAATTTTCTCTCTTCTTCTGCTTTACATAAGATGAGTCACTTCAGTTGTCCACTTTGAAAGGCACCTTTCAGAGGGACAACGTGTTACTGAAGGCATATCCATTGTAGGCATGGCTTGTGCACGAAAAGTTTCCCTGGTAACGAGGTATCGTCTTTAGGGTAGCTTGCCAATTTATTCAAGTCGTTATCAGAAAAATGCTACGTCTGGGAACTTGTGCGCATGCAAAAACTCTCATTATCCGTCACATATTGCAAATGATGATAACGTAAGCCAAGGAAGTACTCTTTTTATGCAAAATACCAAGGACACTCAAGCCAGGAAACTGTTCGCTGACATTTAAGCAGGCCTCGAGACTCCACGGACGTCAGTGTCACTGGTTAGTACACAGCAAATCTGCAAAGTAACCGTTCGGTGCGTTTATGATCGCCTCCATGCTTGATCACTGACAAGACACTTGACGTTTGACCTTATGGGAACTGTTGTTCCAGCAAGTTCCAGACCTAGGAAACCAAACAGGATAACTTTTACACATTAACTAAATCTACATATGGGAAGTTGCCTTTTAATTCTACCTAATATTTCATATAGCTTTTCTAACAGTCAATACACTTGTCTGACTGCACTTTCAAAAGCTGCACGAATTTTTGGAGAATGCTGTTTGCGAACTTTCTAAGTGATTTTTAAAAGTTGTTGTGTTCATGTTGCTTTGCTGCAACGCTTTTAGTGTCTGTTTGAAAGTTGTTTATTCATTTTATCTATTTTCTGCGTTTGCGAATTTTTCGCTTTTGCAAAAAAATGCATTAAGATCCGCGTTTTCTTTCGATTTAAACTCCCGCCGTTTTGGTCCTCTGTGTGTAAATGCATTTTGTTGGGGTTTTCGTTCGTCAGTAAGTTTCTCGAGTGAATGGATGTTCATCTAATGAGTTACACTACATGTTTTGAACAAAGCGGGGTTAGGACGCAGCATGCGACTCCAATCAGGTAGCAAAAATCAGATCATGGTGTAATTTTACCTCCTCGCCTCTTTTATAACTGACGCTTCAGCGATCTTGTAACAAAATGGGATGTAATCGACTACTTCTGTAAAACGAACTGAAGAAAACTTGCGAAAAATAGTCAGCTTTTGCTTACACTATTGGATGCCTTCGTACCCTCAACATTTCTCAGGAATCAGACTTCCACTACGTGTGTTGTTTTACATTTAGCTGGGGAGAAATTCGTCCCCTTCAAACGGGCCACGTGTTAGATGTGCTGGGCCAACACGGGGGCCATATCGGATTCTGGCAGGCGTTATCGGATTTGCGCAATAACAAATGTCAACATGTAGTGGGTGCGCTGGCAGTCCCTGCTGTCGACGGCCGTCGAACAACTGGGATCACTCCCACGCCCTCCGCTGTTGTGGCGGTAAAAATCCTGGTCATTGTTGTGTAAACCAGGGGGGTGCGGAGTGGAGCGCTAAGGTGAGGATCCGTCCGAGCCATTCACCTGCGGCCTCCTTCGTCTCCGGTCCTCTTGACTCTGCCTTGACACCGGGCTCGGGCGAGGGAGGAGGAGGAGGAGAGAGTGTAGGTAAATGCAACGCAGGTCTACGGGCACTATAAACCCCTGCGCAAGTCACTGTCCCTGCTCCCACCGCTGCTGCTGCTGCGGGGCACACGGTGGACATCATCGCAATCGGTGGCCGAACTACTGGCGCGGGCACACGATATGCCACCTCAAATTTTATCCGAATTTTTCATTGCTATTGCTATTTCGGGATTCATCGCCGAGGCGGTCCTGCAACGGTTAGAGTCACTGGTCTTCCAACACCACAGACGGAAATTCTGGGCCCGGTATGTGGATGATACCTTCGTCGTCATCGAACGGGATCAGGTTTTGACATTCCAAGAACATCTCAACGCCGTCTTCCCGGACATTCAATTTACGATGGAGGAGGAAGAGAACAACCAGTTGGCCTTCCTGGATGTCCTCGTATGCCGCAAGGATTGTGGTGGACTAAAGACCAAAGCGTTCAGGAAAGCGACAAATACGATTCAAGTACTGAACTTCAACAGTAACCACCCAATCAGCCACAAACGCAGTTGTGTAAGGACGCTCTATCGGCGTGTCGAAACGCACTGCAGTGAGCCGGAAGACAAAATTGCTGAACTACAATACCTCCGACGGGTCTTCAAAGCCAATGGCTACCCGCGCAATTTCGTCGACCGGTGCATACGCAAAAGGGACGAAAGGCCTAACCACACGGACACCAAGTCTTGGCGGGCACTTCCGTATGTCAAGAACGTTTCGGAAGCTGTCGGCCGCCTTCTCGCACCACTTGGGGTTGGAGTGGCACACAGACCGGAGGCAACCATCAGGCGTCTGATCATGAAACCGAAAGACCCACTGCCACGGCTAGAAACGTCTGGAGTCGTTTATCGGATCTGGTGCAGTTGCGGACAAAGCAACTACGTCGGAGAAACCGGAAGACAGCTCCGAACGAGAATGGCCGAACACGCGGCAGCGGTGCGCAGAAATGACGCCAGCTCTCAAGTTGCGGCTCATTCGACGAGATCCGGCCACACATTTAAATTCGATGAGGCCGAAATTCTCGCAAGAGGTGACAACCGAGTGAGCCGAGAGCTAATGGAATCATGGTTTACTGGCCCCCAGTCCATCAACAAGTGCAACGATCTTCCCATTCAATACAGCGTGCTGAGACTTCGTCTAGGCGGAGTAATTGGCCACGCGGGGAGCGCACTGGTGAACACTCCTCCCAACACCCGGGTCAACGCATCAGATGGTCGAGCAATCATCACGCCAACATCCAACGCACGTGATGAAATTGCGGCAATTATCGACTCGAATGTCGGCCATCAAGCAATGATCACCCCAAGTGTGACAATCCCGAATGAAGGGGGAAGCCGTGAACGTTCATAGGCATGCGGTAGCATGGCTGCTGCATCCTATAAATACCGCAGCCCCTTGTGCAACAACCACCCGTTTCTGCTCTTTTGTCTCTGATGATGGATTCGAGTAGGAATCCGAAACGTCAGGCTAATAAAGCTCTTGTCCCGGCGATCGTGTCTCCTTCTTCAAATTGCTATGGTGGCCTACTTTTTGCCGTCTAGCCTCAACCGTAAATCTCGTATTAAGCGATAAACTCGTTTTTGTTCCCTGGGGAGGGAGAGGGGGTCGCAAAGTGCGTCCTTGCCGAAAGCTGAGACGGAGGCGAAGCGGTCGCTGGAGCAAGAATTTCACTCGTCTGACGCTCCGGGTGCTCGCTTGAGCCAATCATCAACGACAGTCATATATAAGAGTGATGGAAGCGCATGAGGTACTACAGTAGGTGGGCGAACTCATGAAATGTCAGCAGAAATTCCGAAATGTCTTTTCGTTTCGAAATGATTAATAAAGAAGGGTTGTAAAACTACTTGACCAGCACCAAAATTCTATAATATATCACTTACCTCAACAGGCCAGCTTTTGAATGAACTTCCTTCCAGTTGCAAGCAAAAAATACACTCTGTAAGAAATGACTACTTAATTAGCATGAATTTTTTTCATTGATTTTCGATGCCACTTAATGTCTATTTATATTTCATGGAGAGCATATATAAACTATTCATTATTTTGCTCATTCGGTAGATAATTACATCTTCCTCTCGAAGATGAGTTCATAAATCCGTGTGTGATAGAGGCACCTGGGTGTCGATGTACGTAATCGGGTACTCTGCAAAATGCGGGCCCAATTTTTACTGGACACAAGACTTTGCGCAATATCACTGCCACTGATACTCAGACCGGATATAAAACGCAGCTGCTCTTGTTCATGCCGTTGCAAAATTTAATAAGAAGTTATAGAAATGTTAACAGAAAAACGCGGAACCGGGTGAGCAGAAGAATTTTCCGAGACCATTCAAACGGTCTGTTAAATAGAACACACTGGAGTCGCAACGCTGCACAAGCATATGACCTTCACGACCGTGCGGCTTAATACTTAAAAGCCTTGTCTCAGGCAGTTTGGGTGCGCTATGTCAATCTTACTATCTGTGCATCCCCCAAGAATAGAATACTAATGGCCCAACTTGTCAACCCTCAATTAAGAATGCAATACGTGCAATGCATTAGGTGTCCACTGACAATTTCTGATTACGGACTCAGTCGCAATCAGGAACCAATGCTTCTCAATCTCACCTGGGCAAGGGCAAATCCGGCAAAGGATAAGGGGACCCAACATATGGTGACTCGACAGCTCAACCGTCGTTACCGACGACATCCGCGGCGTGCTATAGAGTAAGCTGAGAGCAGTCACGATGAATTATGCGTGAAGTAGATTATAGTGGTAGCAGATTTTCCCAGCATCTACCAAACTCTCTCGCCCTTCCTGGTTGAGCCCGTTTTCAAGACATCCTCAATACGACCGATCAGGGGAGATGGGAGAAGTGGCAGGGACAGCCACCTGACACGACACGACAGTTCAACCATCGATTTCGATGATGTCCACCGTGTGTCCCACAGCAAAGGTGGGAGCAGGGACGGTGACTTACGCAGGGGATTATAGTGCCAGTAGACTTGCGTAGCATCTACCTACACTCTCTCCTCCTCCCCCGCCTGAGCCCGGTGTCAAGACAGAGTCAAGAAGACCGGAGACGGGGGGGGCCGCAGGTGGATGGCTCGGACGGATCCTCGCCTTGGCGCTCCACTCCGCACCCCCTGGTCCACACACATGACCAGGATTTGGACCACAAAGCAATGGGGTGGTGACAGTGGTTCGGTTGTGCGACAAATGCCGACAACAGGGTCCGCCAGCGCACCCCGCAAATGTTGGCATTTGTTATTGCGCACAGATAACGCCTGTCAGAGCCCGATGTGGACCCCGTGTTGGTCCAGCGTATCTAACACGAGGCCCGTTTGGAGGGCACACAGCCACCTAGGCGTACAATCACACCCTCTGTCTATAAAAAAACGCATGACCACGATCTCAACCAACAAAAAATGAGTCTGAAATAGACAAAGATGACACAAGTCACACGGGCAACCATGTAAATGGCCTGTTTACCCGGTGGAATCGCAAGTGCCTCTATTGGCGGGGAAGCAGGTGTCGAAGAACTCCCACTACACACTACAGTAGGTGGGCTAACTCATGGAATGTCAACCGAAATTTCGAAATGCCTTTTTACTTCGAAAAGATTAATTAAGTAGGGTTGCAAGACAAATCATCATGCAGCCCGATTCTATAATATTTTAGTTACCCCAGGGCGATGGCTCTCGAACAAACTTCTTTCCGGCTACATTCAAGAACCATACTCCGTAAAAAATGACTACCTATATAGCATGAATTTTTCTAGTGGATTTTCGATGTTCTTAAACATTCAATTGCATCTCATGGAAAACCAATACAAAAATAATCATTTTTTGCTTATTCAGTAGAAAATTACGTCTTCTTTTAATTTTGTACTCGGAGAAGGGTATTATTCGGCTTTAAAAAGTTTCTTATCTTGAAAGTTTCTAATACCGTAAAATGGCTCGTCATAAAACGTCATGTCCCTGCATTTAGCAATGTGGCTTGTAAAGGTAATAATAAGGATCAAATCCACTGCTTAATTTTATGAATCCTATATGGTCTCCTCCCAATACGATAGAGAAGTGTATGGTTTTCTGTACGCGGAAATTATATGACTTGTAGTTTGGGAACCCTGAATGCAAGTGTAGCGACAGGTCGGGTTGAAAATTATTCGGGAATTGGATAAGTTTTATAAGATGAAATTATACACTTCCTCTAAGTGTACAATTGGAAATCTACGTATGTTTCCACCGAATGGACAAAAGAAGGAATCTTTTCATGCATGTTTTTCATGAAATATAATTGGACATTTAGGAGCATCGAAAATCAATGAGGAAAATTCATGCTATATGAACTGTCATTTTTACAGAGTGCAATTTCTGCGTGCAACCGGAAAGAAGTTTGTTCAGAAGCCGGCGTCCTACGGTGACTGAATTATTACTGAATCATGCCGTACGATGATTGGTTTTGCAACCCTGCTTAATAAATCTTTTCGAAACGTAAACGCATTTCGAAATTTTTGTTGACATTTCATGCGTTAGCCCACCTACTGTAAGCTGAGGCGTGGCAAAGCAAACGCTCGCAGTCATTAGAGCCCAAAATGATAAGACGCAGCCCGGCATTCGGCCTTGGCCATCGCACTTCAAATGCCGGTTACCATTCAGTCATGGACTGGAAGGCGGTTATACAGCAGAGGTCGAGCGATATTCACACTTCGACACTATTTTCGAGTACATATCCGCATGGAAAACGAATGTCATGCAGAAAACAGCCCCAGCCACGGAATAAGTCGAAGGCACAATATGTGTGGTCTGCAATTTACAACCTGCGGACCGATTTTCTTACCTAGACAGACCGATTTCATGAAAAATTACGTCTATTTTCAATGTTATGCACGAAAGAACTGTATATTTCGTCTTTCAAGAACTTTTCCACTTCCTGAATAATTTTGAACACGATCTACCGTTTCACTTGCATTCAGGGTTTCAAGACTACGAGCCGTATATTTTCCGTGTACGACAAGCCGTACATTTCTCTAAAGTATTAAAAGGAGACCATACGGAGTTCATAAAATTAATCAGTGGATTTAAATCCATATTGTTTACTTTGCAAGCCACATTGTAAATGCAGAAACATGACGTTTTATGAACGGCCTTTTCACAATATTCAAAAACTCACAATTGGAAACTTTTTGAAATCGAATTATACTCTTATTTAGAGTAGGAAATTGAAAGAAGACGTAATTTTCTACCGTCGTTGCCGACGACGTCCATGGTGTGAGCATTCACGCTAAATTTTGCGCGAATTAGTTTGTAGTGGTAGTAGATTTTCACAGCATCTACCGCACTCTCTCGCACTTCCCGCCTGACATGCTCAATAAGACTGAAGAGGAGAAATAGGGCCACCTACGCGTAAAATCATCCCCTCTGTTTAAAACAAACGCTTGACCAGGATCTCAACCAACACAAAATGGTCCAGGAAGAGAAAAAGATGATACAAGTCACACGGGCAGCCATGTAAACGGCCTGTATACCCGTGGAAACGCAAATCCCTTCACTGGGTTGGACGCAGGTGTCGGAGAACTGCCAGCACACATTAAGCTCTGAGAGCTATGGTTTTCTGAGGCGTGGCACAACACACGCTCACAGTCATTAGAGCCCACAAAGATTAGACGCATTTGGAATTGGCCCAAGGCCGAGCGTTAATCTCTATATCACTCTATTTTCGAGTACACAAGTGTCATGCAGAAAACAGCCCCAAACACGGAATAGATCGAAGGCACAATATGCGTGGTCTGCGAGTTACAACCTGCAGAGTGATTTTTTTACCTAGGCAAACCGATTTCGCGGAGCATCCTAACTGCCTTCGAAAGTGAAACCTTAATTTCTACGGCCAGAACAGCCTTTGACAGATGACAACATGTGGTCTCAAGTTGTCCTAGCACAAACTACAACACGAAATGCGTGGTGCACAGGGCTATCGTTTTAAGAAAGTCGCTTCATAGTATAAAAAATATATCGAGACCACAACACTCCCATCAAAGCAGTCTCTGAATGATAATCGCGGCCGATTCTAGGCATCCTGGTTGTGAGGAGAGCTCGTTTGTCAAACCCACTGGCCATTTTTAAGGTCATCTGTCGTGCCTGGAAGGGCTCCGTTAGCGGGTTAATTAATCATAGCCGATCGAATGCCTTTACTGTTTGGGTGTCTTTATGAAACCCAAAAGTTCGGCAAATAAGAACAATGTCATGATGGCGACTTTGCAATAGTCGCACGGCAATCTATGTTATGTAGGAGGTGGCCGAATCCGTTTGCACTTATTGTGATAATCGCTATGGGGTCAGAAGGGTCAAATTCAACAAATGGAAAAAGAGATGACAAGGAAACAGAATGTAACTAGTCTGGACCGAAAGCAAAGGGTGCGATATAGTGGACACAAGGGGGTTAATCTGCAGGCACTAGGACGACAATTAAATGAGATAAATACGAGAAATTCGGTTCAAAATATCATATACTCGCGTTATACCCATGATTATAATTTGGAGACTCTAAGAATGTAGCAAAGTAAGTCGCTTTCATAACTTTCCTCGCGTCTACTCCATGTTTCTTCGACCAAGATCTGTGTCACGCAATTGAACATGCTCATGGTCGAATGAATGTGATACAGAACTTCAGACTTGTAAATGTGGTTTTGCTTTATCCTAAAAAACCTCATTTCTATTAACCAAATTTCCATAAAATACAACTTCTATTGCTAAGAATGCAGAGATTTCCGTCAAAACGTAAGCCGACCTCCCTCGGCAGCAATTTTCGGCCACTGTGCCCTTGGAAGATGGATGATATTTGTTTTTTGGATTCCAAGAAAAGCGCAATGGCAGCAGTTACTTCGAGGCACCAAATGACGATTTAATCATTTGCGTGATCTGAAATAGCAGAGTGAATCGCATTTGTTACCACGTAGGATCAGATAACAAAATTCCCTTTTCCAGCATGCGGAATGCGCCTCATATGTCACCATCCTCTCCACTAATTTTGGAAGTTAGCAGTTCTACTAAGACATAGCGTAATGCAGCTGAAATGGCAATTCTCATTCAAACGACCTCGTACCGCTGGCGCTGGGGATAAGAAAAGCTCCTAATACCCCAGCCTTAATTAAATGAAACGCCTCCTTCGTCTTAACAATAACCATTTCAATATTTTTGTAAGGTTAGCGGATGCATCAGAAAAAATGAATAACTTGAATAATGACCCAAAATTTGTAACCATGTCAGATGATTGAAATAATTTTGTCCAAGATAACTTACCGTTGAAAAAATGCAGGCTACTGCTGAAAGATGCAGATGCTTCCATCAAGATATGTACCCTTTTCTGGACTACTGATCAAATAAAGATAATTCCCCCACACTTAGCACGTAATCGGTTTCTACAGGCATGCGAATGGGAGACATTTACCACCTGATATAAAGAGGGAATTTAAAATTTCAGTTATGCATTTTCTAGAAAATGTGGTGACCTGTTTCATCGACTACAGCAGACAGGCGTTTAAGCAGAACTGGTTGAACTTACTTCCAGTTAATTGCACATGTTCATCCCGTTAAAAAGTGCGATAAATAGACTTGGTAGAAAGGTATTATCTAGAAAATAGTCGCCTATTATAATCGCATTGGAAGTCAGTTTACAAGTTAATTGAATTTTAAAAAAGCAAATTTAACCCGTAGGGTTTGCTTATAATATATGAGCGCGCGGCAATGAGAAAACGATACATTCCCATTATGAAGTGTTTCAGAATAAATTTCAAAAAGCTTTCCTATTCACAGTCACATGCCCTTTGCTGCACCAACGTTCGTGATTTCCTACGTAGCAAGCACCTCCGGCGTTTAGAGCTCATAATATATTTAGCCTACTCTGTGGTGGTTGACGCTTTTCTCCGTGTGGGTGAAGGTTTACGTATGAATAGAATAATTTTAGCCAATTATGCAATTTGCTCATGATTTTAACAGTGCTCGTCTGGGTCCGGGAATTCGTTGTGACGCCTAACTTAGAAGTGTTACTGCCAGGGAATCAGAAGAATTAAAATTCGTTGCCCAATGCTGAGAGACATAATATGTTTCGACAAGAGAGATTGTGTAAGAGGAAATATAGCGGGTGACCATCCGTAGAGCAGAAGTGTAATGTTTACTTTCATGGCGTTAATTTTTTAGATTATTGATATTTGTTCAGGAAAATCTGCTACTCTCATGAGATGCTCCCTGATATCTATATATTCAGCTGCATATTTTTGACGGCTATTTCAGTGACGCCTGTATGGCGAAGTCTTCTGTCAATAACAGCATCTTTTATGGAAACAGTGGATAAAAATCTTCTGAAAGTACTGCTTCCAGAGAAGGCTTAACTGATGATTTAATGGAAACTTAAACGCGTCGGTAGGTGGCCGAGATACCAATTACGTGAGCTAGAACAATGCGACGCAAAACGTAGAATGTGGTTGAACTCTCTTCGTGATCAAGCGATGCCTGACTACTATTGGTCCAATTCAGTAGGTTTGGGGAAATCTTTCGTGGTCGTCATCTTTGTCGTCTTAGTAAAAGTTTATAAGACCAAAAACCTCTAGCCCAAAGACATGTGCAGTATTTCAACATGGCAGAAGGATGATCCGAGTGCTCCCCCAAGATTGCCACGCGAGACTTCGCAAGAACTGTCAAAGGATTGTCCAAGAAAAGAGCAGATGTTGTCAGTTCATGAGCGAGATCGGTACAAATCTGCCCCTGCAGAGGAGAGCCGAACAAGTCCGCGAACAGAAAATGATACGCTACGTAGCACTGGAGAACGAATTCCGAAAGCTGCCCAATCCAACGTCGCCCAGAAACGACAAACGGGTGCACAACCCGTTGTTAAAGGAGCTGACGAAGGATCAGATGCAGGTTTTACGGCAGGAAGCTTCAGTCAACACGACTGATGTCAAACCTGCTAACTTGATTGCAGCAGTGGAATCAATCAGACGGAGAAAACGGAGGAGACTTAGAGCTTCATCAGACATCAAGTATTGTCTCTCATCATGACCCACAGGCCGTGGAAAGCGCTTTCCAAGGTCGCGCGTGATGCGCTTAGAGAACTCAAGGCCGAAAAAGGACCTGGTCATAGTGTCAGCGGACAAGGGACGCGCCACAGTTGTACTGTACAGGTCAGACTACCTTCAAAAAAACCATAGGTTTACTGGAGGACCGACAGTTCTATGCGTCATGTGCAACGAAACCTATAAAAGAGCTGACACGCAAAACTACTACTATGTTCTTGGCCTTTGAGAACTCAGGTGCAATAACACCGACCGACAGACGCATGGCGGACCCCAAGATACTGCATTGGCCCGATTCTATGGCCTCACTAAGGTGCACAAAGACGGCGCCCCTCGCCGAACCATTGTTCACTCATAGATACTCCAACGTACGGACTGGCTAATTGGCTGTTCCGGCGTCTCAAGTTCCTGACCGCTGACTCAGACACCATGGTCTCTTCGTCAGCACAATTCCTGGAGAAACTCAACGGGGTAAGCATCCATCCAAATGAGGTCATGGCATCTTTTGATGTTACATCCCTCTTTACTTCTATTCCCCAGGACCTGGCGATCGAGACAATCGAGCTGCTTCTACAAAGCAAAAACAATAAAACGGAGAATCGTCTTGGAGTGCCCAAGTCCTTCAGCTCCTGAATTTCTGCTTCAAGACGTAATTCACGTTCGTCGGGACAATCTACGAACAGGTGAGGGGCACACCAATGGGTTCAGCAATTTCAAGATTCATCGCCGAGATGGTTCTGCAACGGTTAGCGTCGCTGGTCTTCCAACACCACAAACCGAAGTTCTGGGCCCGGTATGTGGATGATACCTTTGTCGTTATCGACCAAGATCAACTGCTGACATTGGAGGAACGTCTCGATGCGGTCTTCCTGGACAAACAATTTACGATGAAGAAGGAAGAGAACAACCAGCTGGCTTTCCTGGATGTCCTCGTATGTCGCAAGGATTGTGGTGGACTAAAGACCAAAGTGTTCAGGAAAGCGAGGCACGTACTGAACTTCAAAGGCAACCACCCAGATCAGCCACAAACACAGTTGTGAAAGAAGGCTCTATCGGCGTGCTGAAACGCACTGCAGTGAGCCGGAAGACGAGATTACCGAACAACAACCTGTACGACGGGTCTTCAAAGACAATGGCTACCCATGCAACGCTGTCAACCGGTGCATGCGCAAAAACAACAAGACCAAACCGCATGGACACCAAGTTTTGACGAGAGCTTCCATATGTCAAGTAGTTTTCGGAAGCTGTCGGCCGCCTCCTCGCACCACTTGGGGTTGAAGTTGCACACAGACACGAGGCAACCCTTAGGGAGCTGCTTGAGTCATGGTTTACTGACCCCCAGCCAAGTGACGAGTGCAATGACCTTACCCTTCTTTACTGCTGAGACTTTAATCTAGGCAGTGACTCTGTCTCTGTGGCGGGAGTGCTGTCTTTCGGTTCCTCCGGCGTAGTTACTGTGTCCGCAAATGCACCAGATCCGACAAACGACTCCAGACGTTTCTTGCCATGACTGTGGGTCTCTCGGATTCCTTACTCGACACCTGATGATTGCCTCCAACCCTTATGTGATGCGAGAAGGCGGCCTACAGCTTCCGAAACATGAGGCTAGTAAAGCTCCTGTCCCAGCGATCGCGTCACCTTCTTCAAGCCTACTTCCTGGAGCTTGTATCTGCACTTCTATTGGCAACCCATCGAGTTACTGTCGTCGGGAGAAGGTGCACGCCACCTTCACTCGCTTTGAGCTCCGTTTGTGCTCCTTTTCTCTACCTAGCTCACTCTCTGTAGCTCACTCACGTGGGGCTACAGAACCAAATCTCGCCCGATATTTTTTTGTTCTTTCCCAATAAAGGAGGTTAATTTGATCGATACTTATTTGGGAAAGACTTGTCCTTGAATTGATTCTTGAGTTTTAGTCCGTCCTTATCCGGTAGGCCAGATGTGCAGAAAAAAATTACTTTCCGAAATACAAAAGTTTGACTAGTCAGCCGGGTGGGGCACATCTTTTGTTTTAAAGTAACCGTATTTGCCATCTACGTGTAAACCACAGGAAGAAGGTTATTTGAATTTTGAGATTTGACAAAATATTATTTGATGTTTTCCGGTTTCGTTTAATACATCACTTGGAAACAGACCTGACAGAGAATGTATAGCCTGAGCTCTATTCCGTTATAAAACAAACGCAAGTCTCTCAGCATGAAAATTCGTAAAGTGAAATCAAAACTGCTTTACCACAAATAATACAATTCGAGGCCGCTGAAGGTCAACTGACGGCGGTTCTCAAAGTTCTTCACAAAGAAGGTCATTTATCTGACAAAAATATGAGCGACTAAGACCAGTGGGCACGGCCATAACCAGAACGTATGGCCTCGCAAAAATTCACAAACACGGGCTACCCCTACGTCCAATCCTGGATATGAGGAATTCGCCCTATCACACCATAGCAAAATGGCTAGTGGAAAAGCTTAAACCGCTGCAAGGTCATCTGTCTCCCCTAAGTCTGAAGGACTCCTTCGAGTTTGTCGAGGCGATTAAGGATATTAACGTTGACGGACGGAGGATGCTATCATTAGACGTAGCATCACTGCTTACTAATATGCCCGTAGCCGATGCAATAAATTACCTTTATGACGTTATCCGCGACACGAACTACCCGTTAGGCATGCCGTTAGAGACGCTAAAAGAGCCACTGACACGGTGCACGCAAAACGCCCAGTTTCTCTGCAATGGTCAATTGTACAGACAAATAGACAGCGTAGCGATGGGCTCACCGCTCGGCCCATTCCTCGCAAATGTCTTCATGGGCAAAGTCGAGATGACAAGTTTACAAAACACCATCAATGACCTCAGCTTCTACGGTCGGTACGTGGACGATATCTTCTGTCTGGCAGATATTACCACTGATATCGACGACCTTGTCCAAAAGTTCAACAGTGCGCACCCCTCGCCAAAGTTGACTGCTAAGTCTGAGGCAGATAATGAAATTGCGTTTCCCGATGTGCTTCTACACAGGCAGGAGGATGGGTCTATCCAGCACAAGGTGTTCCGAAAGAAAATCTGGACGGGACAATATATCAATTTCCACAGTTTTGTTCCCCTCAACATCAAACGAAATCTAGTCCAGGGATTGGCAGCTAGAGTGAGGCGCATCTGCTCACCTGAAGCTATTGAAGCAGAGCTCCAACAGCTGCAGAACACACTCCGCGAGAACGGATATCCAGATAGATTCATCCTCCGAAATATTGGGGAACGCATTGCAAAGCCCACTGTTCCGACTGCAGAAAAGAAAGATGTATTTATAGGACTGCATTTTACAGGGGACGCAGCGAGCGAACTAGTCAGACGGCGCTTAACTACAGCTGTCACGAGAGCATTCCCCACGGCGAATTTACGCGTATGTTTCACAAACTCTCCCCTCCTACGTTTGGGAGGTAAAGACAAACTACCGTTGGAAGCCACATCAATGTGCATCTACTCATTCACTTGCTCCTGTGGAGCGGGATACATCGGTCGTACAACGATACGCCTGGTAGAGAAGGTGCGTGAACATATGCCCGCCTGGCTAGACAGAGGTGAGACCTGATCGATTTCGAGCTCTATTCTCGCACATGTAATCGATACGGATCACCGAGTCGATGCAAAGAAGCATTTCAGGTTGTCTATCGGGCACCAACAAGCTTCTCTGGAGGTCTACGTTAACGGATACTAGCAACGGCCCAGGCAGTGGCTATACGGCTGGCGAATCCGGTGCTATGCTGTCAGAAAACCCTAACACAGGCGCTCTCTCTGCCGTGGCCAACGTCAACCTCACGTGATGAGGACATGTCACATTAAATCCCTGATTACAGTGATGGGTACTCCGTGTATCCAATCGAAGAACATCACTCAAAGACTCGCTTACCCCCCTCCCCCAGCTCTAAGGACCAAAACCCACCGATCTCTTCATGCGGGCGGCGTGGAGGAGATGAGTGTTAATGACGTAATTGCCCTTGTGACACTTATAAACACTGGTAACTTTGTACATTTTTACTCCTTCATGTAATTGTATTGGCCTGACGAAGAATTACTGAAAACACGTGTTAGCCAATTTGTCTTTTCAATTCGATTTTTCTACTGTCGTGGCCGACGCTGTCTACGGTATCATCTAAAGCATAATAAAGCGTACACGGCGACTTGCGCGTGAACTATTTTATGGTGGAAGTCGGCTTGCAAAGCACCTACCGCACGCTCTCCTTCTCTATCGCCTGCGCCGGATGTCAAGACCTAGTTAAAAAGACCGAAAGCGGGGGAAAGGACGGGTTGCTGGCACGGCCGGACCTACACCTAGGCGTGCCACTACACCCCCTGGTCCAAAAAAACGTTTTACCAACATTTTGAGCAACAACATCGTCACTCCGACAGCCATGCTCAAAACCTGTATACCATCGGGAGAGCAAGCGCATCTGCCGACAGTGAACAAGGTGTCAAAAACAGTTGGCACACAGCAATCTGCGAAGGCCATGGTTAGCTGATCCCGACGGGGCGGACGCTTACAACCCTTGCGGCCCCACAACAGTACGTTTTTAATTTGCAACAGTAAAAAATTTCTATATAAATTACAAAATTGCATAAGCATTTAAAATCATTCTTTTTCTGTCCTTGTTCACATCAAAAAACGACGGATATGAGCATTTCTCAGCATTTTACGCTTGTGAAGGAATTTTAGAAGAGATGCAGTTGGCGACTCGTCTCACGAAACGTTAGTCAACATTCTGAAATGCCTTTCCGATTGCGAAGGATTATCTGGGAGGGCTGCGATATTGATTAGCACGCTGCATAATATCATGATATATCCGACTTGGTGGATTGTAGGTTTTTGATTGAATTTGTTTGCCTTTCTGTATCAACCGCACTTAGTAAGAGTGGCGGCTTAATAAATCCACATTTTACAAAGGGGTTCTCTCTTGTCATATAATTTTAAGTATATCTTATAAACTATATGCACAAGACTATGCTCCTTTTTGCTTATTCAGCAGGTAATCTCGTAATATTTACAGTTTACAGTCAAAGATATAGTACACTTAAGTCCTTAGAATGGTTTCTAGATCCCGAATAATTTTGGGGTAAATTAGCCGCTGTGGTAACGTTTAATGATTCCTTTTACAATAGGTGTCTTTCCTGCCTAAGGGTAATCAAAAAATCATCATTCATTTTGAAAAATATCATGCAAAGCTCATAAAATATTGAAACGAATGCAGACTGTGTTGTAAGTTTCATGAGTATTATTAATAAACGGACCGGAACGATGCTGGATGAGTGTACGATAAGCTGTCTTAAAAAGATCTCCTAATAAGAAACATTTGTTAAACCGCAGGATACTCTTTTCCGGTGCCAAATGTGAAAACGATGTGGTTTGCTACTAAAGTTTAAAAGAAAGCATATTTTGACGCATTGTTTATACAACATACACTCGAATTAATTAAGCCATTAAAGATTAATGTGCACAATGTAAATAAAGTAATTTTTTACTGATTTCGATTGATACAGGGGTTCTTAAATAAGTACAGTTTTAAGCCAGCAACCTGACAAATCCGAAACATGACAGTATTAGACCGCAAGCTAAGCAATATCGCAATCTGAGCATAATAGTCCTTCCTAATAGAAAACACAGTTTCGAATATCGGCTGACATTTAAAGAGATTGCAAGTTGACAGAATCGTATTCTGTATGGTCATTTACATGAATGACATCAAATTTTTCGCACATGTAAATCGTGTACAATCGTCTATTTCCGCAACTAGCAGTTATGTTTTTATAAATCTTCAAATATGACCCAAAACGTTATCCACTTAACTAATAGGACTGAGGCAATGAATTTAAAAACTAGTCCGTTTTGATTATTTTTACGAAGGCCAATCCAGGGAACTTACATTTTAGAGACCGAATTAGAGCAATCTAAGTAGCGGTATTTCACTAAAATTTCAGGAACAGTGGTACTTGAGGAATTGCAATGGTACCAGAAGGAAGAGGATGAAGGCGGCACAAAAAAGGCTCACTAAGGCGGAGTATTAGGTTTTGTAGGTAAACAACTGGGCCATTAATCTTGTGACCATGGTCGCAGATTTAACTGTAACAATCCGGCGTGTTCAGTCGTTTAAGACCCATTACTGGTTGCCAAATCACTAAACCAATGTGTGGCCTTCCCTCCAGATACGAGCGGCAGACGGTCGGACCTGCTGTTGTTTTTCGCCGTATTTTGTAACGGGCGCCAGAACCAATTTAGGGCCCCGGTTAGAGGGAATGCTGTTTCCGAAGATTAAACTGTCTCGTTTTTTCTTCTTTACACGAGCAACCATTTAATCACGATCTCCTCGATTCCCCAAATTCGCAGAAATGCTTATTGATATTGCTCGCGTTTTTTAAATTTCATTTGTCAGAGTTTCGTGTAATCGCGTAACTGGGTCGTGAATTAGTAAGCGGATGCACGACAAAACATAGGAGAGGTTTGGCGCACATGGACTCGCAAATGGACTTGCTAAAATTCATTCGACCGCATGAAACATATTGAAATGAATTAATTTGAAATTTTAAAGTTGTGAAAATCCCCATCACTATGTTCAGAAGAGACAGTGGCGAGTGAACGTTCCTTTCGGTAAATTCTCATCAGGCCAATACAGTTACATAGGGCGGGTTACAGTGTGTGAAACAAAAATCGATAAAAGTTGGGTTTTAAATTACAGGCTCGGCAAGAGCGGAAGGGCGCCGAAAGTTTTATGCGGTTAGTCAACCTTTGACCACGGTAAGCGCGGAGCCTGAACAAGGTTCTTTTGGGCGCATAAGGTCGGTTTTCGTAACCTTATGGCGGCCGCTTCTGCTGCGGCTAACAGGCGCTGGCCCAATAGCTTAGGGTAGCTCGAGGGGACCTTGCAAATCACACGAAATGCTTCAGTGGGGTCCACACGATCTCCTGAATCCACTGCATCCGCAAGGATGGCGCTGTCTATTCTCCTAGTTTGATTTTTTGCCAGCCATGCGGAAAGGTGCTCTCGTATTCTTTTGGAAAGGCGCCGACTCGTACGACCAATATAACCTGCTCCACAGCAGCAAGTGAATGAGTAGATGCACATTGAGGCGGCCTGAGGTGGCAGTCTCTGTCAGTAATGCTATTCTGCCTATAGAGGATGAAGTATGGGGCTGGCCCCACGGGATTTTAATCACCTGAGGGATTAAGTCGGGTTTCGAACAAGGGGCATCCACCTTGTCCTAATTAAGACTGAAGCCAGTCGACAGGTGTTCACACATTCCAGCATCCAACGTCACGTCTCCGCTCCCGATAAATTGATTCACTTCGTATATAATCCAATTGCACCACTAGACCCTGACTTCATAAGGCATTGTTTCCCGCGGACCCCACAGCACGAATTTCGTTATGGTGTTCAGACATTTAATTCCTGAGGTTTTTGGGAAGTTTGAGTACAGACGGGTTTCCAACAGCAATCCGGCCTGTTTTGAAGAGGTCTTCCTCCCTGGTGTTTTGGCCCAAGAACTGGATCGAAGTGAGCTGAGGACTGCAAGACCGTGAAATCGGACAAATTGGATGCTGAAAACTACTCCTTAGGGCAGCACAATCGTAATACCGATCCCGCCCTATCAATCTAGAGAGATGAGAGAGGCTTGGTTCATCGTGTGTGATGATAAAAACCGACCAATTCATTGCAAAACGTTGCAGCCGAAACACGTACGCCTGTATGGTAAATTCGTGCAGTAGTTAAACTGCAATTTGGTTGGGACATTAAACAGTAATAACAGCCCAATGCTTTGCGATATTGCTTTCTAACCCACCATCATAAAACACGCTTTTATCTCGGGGGGTGTGGATTAATGATTGATCTCAAAACGAACAATTTGTTTTGATGTCACTTCTCGTTACGCTCTGTCAATGTCATAGAATAGGCTGTGCATTACTCGTGGAGTCAATTACTTTAACGGAACATAACAGTAAAAGTACTGTGTGACGAGACAAATGTTATCTTAACGCAAAAAAGACTTCCTGAACTACACAATCAATCTTTTTTTTAAATCTACATTGTATGTGCTGTAAATGACTGTCATGTGTAAACATACAGTGAGTGACCGATCTCATGAAATGATGGCTGAAATTCTGAAATGCGTTTTCGATTAGGACGGATTGTTTAGGCGCAGCATACTCCTATAACATTTCGGACTTGACAGGATCTCAGTCTTTAAATAAACATCTTTTCCATATCCTGTATAAACCGTATTTGGTAAAAAATGACTACTTAAAAAGCGTGCATTTTTCCCATTGATTTTCGATGGTCTTGCAAATTCAAGTATATTTTATAGAAACGATAAAAAATTTGCTTTATTTTAGCCAATTAACAGATAATCACGTCCTCCTTATATTTAACACCAAAATCCGAGTAGAATTAGGCGTTAAACTGTTTTTTAATTGCCGAATAATCTGGAGCCTGATCATTCGTTGCATTAGCACTTAGTGATTTCAGTCTAAATGGTGCATGCGTTCAACGTAAAGAAAATTACATATTTTTCTGTCATTAAAAAGATAACATAGAGAGTCCAGAA